AGTAACAAGAAAATATGCAATAATTAATATTCCTAGACAGTTTGTTATGGTGATAGCAAAAAGCTAACAGAAGGCATTTTTGTTCTTCAGGAAAATTACTTGGCCACCTTTTCACAATTGTTGACATTGCTGTGAATGAAAAGGATCAACAACTCATCAGTTTATCAACAGCAAGGGTAACAAAATCCTGGATATCTTCTTTCATGTCTTAAAACTGAGTGCCCCCTTATGGTATACTGAATAGCTCAAGTGTATTAATTAGTCACAATTTCTCAACAAGGCGAGAAATGGCGTAAAACGCTTCACAAGCTCGTTTGTATCTCATTAGTAGCGACACAACATCTCTGTAGGATGTCTCTTCTCTTTTAGAAACTGGGTTAACTTTCTGCAATCCTACGACTCACTTTAATTTCTCCTTTTTGCTCAGGTATTCAGGGTATGGGATATCCAGACACTGTCATGTTTGCAAGTAAGTCAGGGCCTTAAGACGAAAGTATCTTTCCTTTCGTCATCACCAATCTCAAAATTAGCCAACTTTTTTATTCTATTTACTTACGTGACGGTTTCAACATTGCTGATCCATGCTGAATGCAGGACCTGTGTCGCATTTGAACCTATTAAGGTCCTAACTCATACATGGTGCCTCTGGGTGCGAAGGTTTAATGTTCGACTCCTCATGGGAACTCACAATATGTAATTTGTCCTGCGCTCGTGTCAAGACGGAAATACATGTTTCTCTGTGTATTTCTTCGTATTAGGTATTTACAGACAATGAAGTTAGGCCGGGAGAGAAGCGCATCTCCTGTATGCTTTTTGATGCCAAGCATGACAGACTTATTACAGGTAAATGACACTCAGAGTCGGCTAGTCAGGTAGCCGCTCACTCAGTTAGTCAGTCCGTCATTTTGTCAGCCAGCCAGCCAGTCAGTCAGTCAGCCAGCCAGTCAGTCAGTCAGTGAGCTAGTCAGGCAGTCAGCTAGCCAGTTAGCCAATCAGTCAGTCAGCCAGTCAGCTAGTCAATCACTTTGGCAGTCAGTCAGTCAGTCGGCTAATCAGTCAATCAGTTAATTGGTCAGTCATCAGCCACCCAGCGATGGCAAACTAAAGGATTTGCATTTAGAACTCCAGATTCTAAATTCTAAGCCCCTCAAACCGCTCAGCTTCACCGTCTCCTGATTTCTGTCTTCTTCCTTATTTTTGTTTTTGAATAATTAATCCCCCGGTAGGTTGTAGTGTAATTGACACCTGGCCACTGACTCGAGCCATTCAGGATTCACTTCAAGTTCCCCACACTCATGACAGACCAATATGCCAGGTTTGTAATTTGTGATTGCCTATTTTACACCTGCCATGAGAGGTGCTAAGGGTTTTAGGCTGACCGGGAGAATGTCACTTGTTCTAATTGTGCTTGTGAGATGGTCATAGCTACCTCAGAGCGAGATTTACCTGCTTCTTAGCAGATCAACGCTAGTATGTACTGCTAAACATGTGCTGTTAGGATAGGGCGCATTTCAATAGAGAGTCGTGAGACCAAAACCACGGTGATTACTTCGGAGAATCAAACACAAGAAAATATCTGACGGACGCAACGCAAACTTAAGATGAAAACAAAGTTAACTGCCCGGGCCAGTTCTTCGAAGGGCGGATAATGCTGTCCATCAGATAAAATACTATCAAGCGGTTAACTGGTAACAAAACGTAGTGCGCTATCTACCGGACAGAGATTTATCCAACCTTCAAGCAACCGGGACCTAAAGCGCGGGAAATGGTAGTTTTACAGGGCTCAATTGGTTTTCGATCCACGTGTAATCGGTTAAGCGAGTGGCAAAAGTTCTCTAGATATAAATTCCGCTGATAAAATGCAATATTAAATCTGTTAATTCTCCTGATATTGTGTTAAGCTAATCATGCTATGAGTTTGTCAAACAGCACATAATTTTGTGTTTGTTTTTTTTTTCGTGTGTTCAGCTTTTGTACAATCCTCAGATGAACCAGGTCATTAGCGGCTGCGTTGAAGGGATACTTAAGGTATCAACATTTTGTTCCCTTTTTAGAATATTAGCAAAGTGTTGTTGTGATGGCCGTTAAAGAAAGGAATGAGATAAAATACGTCAGGAAAATGTTTTGCTTTATTGTCTTTCCCTCCTTTGTGCAGGTTTGGGAGATGGAGACAGGCAAGTTTGTTTATCAGGTAGCTGATGCCCATGGCCCGTCTACGGAGATCACAGCCATGACAGTAGACAGCTCAGGTTACAGGCTTGCTACTGGAGCTTACAATGGTTAGTATGATTGTCGTATATTAAGGATACATGTGCCTTTGAAATAACAGGCATCAATCTGCTAAATCTCTTCCTTATGGGACGAACATGACCACCCAAAACTAACTTATCTGTGCACACAAATCTTTGTAGCGTTTATGACATCGTATATTTACACGTTCTACATTTACGCCTACTACTGTGAGAACAATCACGAGAAGGAAGACACTGTAAATATTTGCAAAGTTGAGAAGAACAAGTTACAGGTCTGATTCCTTATCTACCCTCGCTTAAGTTATTATGAGACGATTTCTGAGTTTGAGAATCCGAGGAGAACCTTCAAGTTACTTTGTCTTATTGTATCGCAAAGTTTGCTGACGCAGAGAGGCCAAGCACCTTCTACTCGTTCATCGCTTGTAGTACAATACCATTCTATTTCAGACGTACAGTGAGTTAGACGAAGCGTGATAATAAACGGCGCAATTGAAGCCGCGAGGAGTGAAAAACGAGGGAGGTCTGGGTCTGGTCGCGCAATGAACATTTTTTACACGACCCGACCCCAAACCTCACTCCTTTTTCATTTAACCGCTTCTATCGCGCCGTTAATTATTTCGCACGGATTTCGCACCGTTTCACCAGCTGAACGCCTGCAACAGACTACCTAGTGTCCTAAAATAGAGCAATTGGTGGTTGAGTTTCGACAGACGTGTAAGTTTTGTAGTTTCTGGACTCAATTCTTTTTCGGAAGACCCCAACTGGTTTCTTCTCTCTCACCAGGTTCTATAAACGTGTGGGATTTTGGCAGCGGACAGCTTTATAAGAAGTATCCGGATGAACACGCTAAAAAACGCTATGAAGACACCATAACAGACCTGACGTATCACACGATGTACAACAAAAGATGCTTGTTGGTGTCTTCGTGGGGAAAGAAAATAAGAATCATGGAGGTAAAAAAAGATTTAAGAACTCTGGCGTTAAATTTTAGTGACATAACTGTTGTAAATACTCTTTATTCTCCGTGTTTTCGATAGTAGTGATACAACTAACCTGTTTAATCAGAGAGCAACTTACCCTCTGGGACTGCCTTGAGGAGATCTTTTAGTGCGTATTTGAACAAACCAACACCGTTAAATACGACTGTGTTTATGTATCTGAACTCATATATAAAACAAGTGAAACCTCTTTCTTGATTCTTATTATATGGTCGTTGGATTATGATTATTTTTCATGTCACATTTGCTAAGAAACAGAAAGTGTCATGAGGTGAAAACTTGTAGCTTGCGACAAGTCTTCACTACTATCGTTTCAGCCTGAGCATATGATTGTCACATTTGTTAAGAAACAGGAAGTGTCATATGGGGAAAACTTGTAGCTTGCGACAAGTCTTTACTATTATCACTTAAGGACGAGCTTTTCTTCGTTCCCGGTAAGTACGAGGCCTTGTGCAACGCTATCCGGCGAGGGGTCTGAAAGGGGTCTGGTACTGATAAATAGTGCCAGACCCCCGGCAAGCCTCTTTCCGATTGATCTCAACTATTCCTGCGGGTAGAGAAATGCACGTCCTGTAGCGTTAATGATGAGGGCCTGCTCGTTGGTTAGGAGATAGTATAACTGATTTTCAAGATCTGATTTGTTGTTCGCCCTATGGCGGCTAAGCATGCACCTGTAAAATTGTAACTTCGTTTTGAAACAGAGGCTTTGTGCTTTTATCAGTAGTTGGCCAGATGGTATAGTATATTCTAAGGACAAGTTACATTACATTTTATTATTTTCTGGGAGGTAAAGGGCTAAACCTGTTGTTGCGCTGCTACTGGTGTTGAATTTGCCTTTATTAAGGTTCATTCCTTATCCCCACAGGACTCAGCAGAAGTCGCAACCTTAATCGAACTCAAGGTTTTATCAGATCTCTTTATTCCACCAGTGCCCTCAAACTCTGCCCAAGGTAACACTCTTTACGTTGTGGGAGCCACCTACTCTGTACCAGTGAACATCGACAAAATTCAGGGATCAGTTTTTGTGCAGAAGACATTGTTTTTTGAATCTTGTATACTTTGCTGAAGGGGTGAAATATGATAATAGTGTTAAGCGCATTCTGTACGATCACTTCAGTCAGTAAGGAAAATTCTTCTTGTCGCCTTATATAAATAAGACACTAGCAAAAAGCGGGTGGAGTCTTGAGTTCGAGCCAAGTAGTTTATTTCGATTCGATTCGATTCGATTCCATCGTTTTCATTTATCTCATTACCACTAAAATTCTATAGTGGCCGGGTAGCCTGAAAAGAAAAGCACCAGCTTTATGATATGCAGGCTACCTATTTACAATCATTTCGATAGTACGAAGCGACTTCGAATATCGCTAACTCGCATGAATGGAATGCCAGTCTATTCTAGCTTGTCCCCCACCATTTTTTATCAGGTTTCTCAAACAATCCGCCGCTGCAAAAGACTTTATATACCTTTGGTGGAAAGGGACTCAGCGAGAGTGAGGTATCTTTCCCAGAACACAACACGGCTAGGGCCCCAAACCGTGTATCTCGATTCATAGTCCACCCCTTATCGCGTCTCTGACTGAAGACAAGTAGATTCCATTCTTGATTAAAATATCGCACTCAAAATCTTTCCCCTATATTTCAGAGGGACAGGCACCGTTCATTTCAAGAGCACCTCTGCCTACCATTGGAGAATCTCAGGAGGTCCAATCAAGTAATGAGGTATGGCGTCAGGGCTATCTCATCCACTCGAATCAGGCTTCAAATGTTGGTTACAATAAAAGAACTGAAGAAATACTGAAATTTTGTCATGAGAACGTGGACAGAGAGGTTGAAACCAAAAGACGGACTTCCCTCACAACCGCTACTCCGCTGGTTCTAGATGGATCTGAAAATAGCAGTCCTGTACAGTGCATTTTGTTCAGAAGGAAATCTCAGAAGGCATTCTTTTTTTTTTTCCAAAAAAACATTCCAATCTTATAAGGGGGTAACTGTAACATTATTCTTTACATTATTTTCAACAGACCAGATACCTAAAATGACTTAATGGTGAAAGACTCTATCTCAACTTGTTTCTGTCTTCTAAACGAACTTTATCACCATGTAACATCTTTGTTGCGGTTTGAATGTTTCCCTTTTGGTTCCGGGTGCTGGGGGGGAGGGTCTCGATTATTTTGCAGTCATTGTTCCCACTTCCTTTAAATTGATCAGTTACCCATACAAGCGCAAAACTGACTTAGATTAAGTCACTTGGTGCAACAAGTTTAGCTCAAAGTGATGTGTTGTCATCATTGCAGGAGCATGTCCTCTCGTTTTGTGAAGTAACTTGTTTGGAACATGTATCTCCTTTACTTTTTGCTGGTACATCGAATGGATCAGTCATCATGTGGAATCTAGAGACGGAGAAGGTCTTCTTAAGGTCAGTCTAGCGCTGTTAGAAAAATCGGCTAATGTGGAACACGCCAGACCCTGCTTCAAATTTGTTAAACCAAATCGATCTTGAAAGGGAAGTCCCTACACACCAAATCAGTTGAGTAAAAACCATGACCCGAGAGATTTCCGTGTTTTTTAGAAAAGCCACAACACACTTTGCGCAGCTTGATGATGTTTAGCCTATTATTTCCGACAGGTGCAAACCATGTCTATCTTCTCAATCCATACACCTTATTCCATGGTAAACATATGATGCACGCGGATATTTTGCGAGTTGCGTAGTTTTTCTCAAGGAGCGAGGAGAAATGCAAGAAATAAGAAAAAATGTAGTAATACTTCTAGTCTTTCCATTTCACGGAAACCAAGGTAAGCTTCGGCTGGATTGGCCACTCGGTAGAAACTGTTATCAGCTGATTTTACTTCATCAACCCTTAATGAGTTTTTTTCGTCGTTATTTGCTTTGCGTAGGTGTCAACCACCAAAAGCCAGGAGTGCAAACAGCAGTAATTACAGACGGAATCACCGAGATGAACAGCTGGTGTACAAAGTGCTTTATCTTATTCATCGAGTTAGGAAACCCATCATTTACGGCAACGGGTATATTTTATCATGTTCTCATACTATCTTTCATACGGACTATTATGTTGCTGTATCTATGTCACCTTCTTTTGTGGACATATTATCTTAAATTATTTCATTAACAAGTTGTAAGCAGATTCCTTGAAGGGGAAGATGAACCCTCTAAACTTTACCTCGCTCCGAACTCGTGGCTTCGTAGCTCAGTCGATAGTATCGCTCCACTGGTATCTGTCAGGCATAAGTTCGAATTCTGTCAAAGCGCAAATTGCTTTCAGCTTCTTTTCTGCTTAAATTGCATTCCACCCGTGAGGTTCATTTATTTGCTTATTAAGAAGAGGTAAATCTGGGAAACGTGAGATATGTCTTTGTCATACGTTTATGTTGCTTTTATCAGTGGACTTGAATTTGTTCAACGTTCGATAGCATTCTGTAATTTTAAGTGCCTGATCAGAAATCGTTTCTTCCGTTCTTAGTAAAAATACTAACTTGCCAAAATCAAGCAATGAACAAGATGAAGATAGCGCTGATACGGGAGGCGCGAGTGACCCTCAAAATGGCGAGCAAGATAGGAATCTTGAAAAGGGTGAAGAAGAAATAACTGCTGAAACAGATGAAGAACAAGTAGATAGAGGACGTGAAGAGGAACAAAGTGGAGAGGACAGGAATCAGGAGCAGAAGTTGGAGCAGGAATCTAAAACTGAAAATGAGGATGAACAGGAAGAAAAGGAAGATGAAGTTACTGAGCAAGCTGTTCATGGTGCATTTTTACAAGTCAGCGAACCGTCTTTAGTGTCTGCTCATCATGATGGCTTTTTGCGATTCTGGAATTTATCAGTAAGTTTCGAATATGGGAAGTGGCCTGTAGTTGAATATTTGAAAACGTTCTCGAGATTAGAAATGAAGCCATGAAGTCTTTTCACCATCAAATCCATAAACATCCTTCTCACGATTTCTCTTCATTGCGACTTTGACTCAGAGCAAGGTTATAAGTTCGCATTTTCTGGTTGGCAATAGCCCTTAGTACGAAGAGGATATTCATTAATTTTCATTCTTGAATATGGTTAATCGGACGACAAATCCATTCTCCTATCAGCTATCATGACTGACAATGGATGACTTGTGCCTGGAGGAGTTAGGTTTTAGTCTTTGTTATGAGGAATACTGATCAGGATGCGCTTGTTTGCTTTAGGGTACTCTTCTATCAGAGATACGCGCAATTACTAGGAGACAAGCATCGGCAGTGACTTCCATGTGCACAGATCCGGACTGCAACTTTGTTATCAGTGGAGATGCGAGTAAGTACTGACAACTCATTAGTGCGATTTGGCCTTGGGTGATAAACACACTTACAAGCTTTTGCCTCATAATCTCTAATGTTCTCAAGAGGTATGTGGAAGCATACGAAAAGTCAAATGCTTTAGATGTTTTTTTGCCCCCATACCTGACTTTTCTTCCGACTTTTATAGACAGTAGAACCTGATTTCAAAGGAATGGGGGGTCTGAAAACGAGCAGCGGGGGCGTCCAGAAAATTTTGAAATCTATTCATCAAAAGTACTTCATATTATAACAAAATAAAATTTCGTCCTCCAAAGAATAAAGGGTGGTGCTGTTCCTGTATTCTCATCATTTCCACCGAGTTTTACCTGGCAATCACTGTACTGAGTTGTTTAGTTTTATCAACTGAGTTGATAACGTAAATTGGCCACCGCAAAGAGTTTCAAAGCGTTAGCCCCTCGTCAGAGCCCTTACGCTCTGATGAAGGGCTAACGTTCGAAACATCAGCTTTGAAACTCTGCGGATGTCAATTTACATTATCAACTCAGTTGATAATGCTAAATTACCCTGTTATACTCTCCCACCGACATGGCACCTCAGTTTCTCTGGAAACTTACCCCTTTTATTCACTGTACTAAGTTGCATAACACGCTGATGCATGATTTTGTCCTGAAGGGGGTTACATCACCGTGTGGGATGTCGGCAACTTTCTTTTGGATCCTTCATCCGAGGGAAGTGACGGTGATCAACAACAGCAACGTGAAGATGATCAGGATAGTAACAAGGACGACACAAAGAAAGAGCCCAAGGTAAACTGCCAAAGAACATTGTCTCTGCAAATTTTTATTTGTGCAATTTGTCCTCCCTTTTCATTAGACTATCGACCATTCTGTTTTATAATAAAGTTCGGATATAACGCGCGCTGTCATTGGTTGAAAGAGCGTGTTCTATGAGTGTATAGAGCATAGAGCTGAGCTAAAGCTGTCACGCCATCTGCCAAACTGTACTATGTTCGACCTTTTCCGGGACTTCCTTTTAGCTTTTTTCCGATAATTGAAAGTGAAATTTCGGAACAAGCGAGCCGGCAAGTAGCAACAGAAGAACCAAATAAAGGTTTGTAAACATACCAGGCGCCGTAATTTACGTTATTAAAACGTGAGCAGATACGAAAATCCTCAAAGGAAAAACAAAATAGGCATTCGAGGTTTTAAAGATTGATTCACGCTCGGTTAGATTTCAAGCTTACGTACGGAAATAAAAATCAAACACAGCTAACACTCATATAGTATATAAAGTTCAGTGTTCAAAAACAAAACAGAACAAAACAGAAATGATGAAAAATATAACCAAACTGGCATAACTGTGAAAATTCATTCTGTCTGAGCGAATATGATCATGCTGAAGTCCATCGCGGCTCGCTCATCATGACGATCTCCGGTCATCACAGCAAGCCTCAGAAACTACATCGGCCGCCCTTCGAGTGAAAAAATAAGAGCTTGCTCTGGTATCCTTTCCGATGCGTTGAGTGGAAAGTTACATCTGTCACTGTAGCCGAGTTTTGCGGCGCAGTCATCCCGAGCGATCTTCATGTTCCGGTGAATTCGGCTGTCGTTCATTCAAAAACACTGGCCCTGAACAATTTGTTTTCTACCTTGTCATGTGAAAAAACTCGCGTGTTTTTATGAG